TCCAATTTTTGATGAAATGAGATAAGATTTTGACTGGGATTTTCATTCAGAATAATGTTTTTTAGGTAATTGATGTTGATTTGTGTAAATTTGTATTCGGACAGATGGAGAACATAAAACTTTATGTTCCAAAATCTCTTTAAGGTCATATAAATTATCACTTAAACAATTTAATTTCTTTGAAAAAATCGAGGGCTATATTTTTTTGACGAATAGAAATCATCAAACAATGTGTTTTTTAAATCGCTCAAATATTAAATAAAGTGAGATTTAAACGATTTAAATTTTCAAAAAATTTAAATTACTTCCAAAATTTAAAATCAAGTACAATATTTGTATTGTGAGATAAAGAGAGTATCATACAATGTGTTTGAAATATCCCAGAGGTCAAATAGAGTGAAATTTAAAAGATTTCATTATTTTTTCATAATTTAAATTGCTTCCAAATGTAAAATTATATACTAAATATATATTGTGACTGATAAAATACATCATACAATGTGTTTTGAAACCTCTCAGAGGTCAAATAGAGTGAGATTTATACGATTTTAATTTTTCAAAAAAATTAAATTGCTTCCAAATGTAAAATCAAGTACTAAATATGTATTGCAACAGATAGAGAACATCAAACAATGTCTTTTGAAATCTGATATAGCGCTTGATATTACATTTAGAAGCAATTTAAGTTTTTCAAAAAATTTAAATTGCTTCCAAATGTAAAATCAAGTACTAAATATGTATTGCGACAGATAGAAAACATCATACAATGTGTTTTGAAACTTCTCAGAGGTCAAATAGAGGGAGATTTAAACGATTTAAATTTTTCAAAAAATTTAAATTGCTTCCAAATGTAAAATCAATTACTATTTATATATTGTGACAGATAGAACATCACACAATGTGTTCTGAAACCTCTCAGAGGTCAAATTAAGTAAGATTCAAACGAATTAAATTTTTCAAAAAATTTAAATCGCTTCCAAATGTAAAATCAAGTACTATATATGCATTGCGACAGATAGAGAACATCACACAATGTGTTTTGAAACCTCTCAGAGGTCAAATTAAGTAAGATTTAAACGATTTAAATTTTTCAAAAAAATTTAATTGCTTCCAAATGTAAAATCAAGTACTATATATGTATTGCAACAGATAGAGAACATCATACAATGTGTTTAGAAACTTCCCAAAAGTCAAATAGAGTGAAATTTAAACGATTTAAATTTTTCAAAAAATTTAAATTGCTTCCAAATGTAAAATCAAGTACTATATATGTATTGCAACAGATAGAGAACAACATACAATGTGTTTTGAAACCCCTCAGAGGTCAAATAGAGTGAGATTTAAACGATTTAAGTTTTTCAAAAAATTCAAATTGCTTCCAACTGTAAAATCAAGTACTAAATATGTATTGTGACAGATACAGAACATTATACAATATGTTTTGAAACCTCTCAGAGGTCAAATTAAGTAGGATTTAAACGATTTAAATTTTTCAAGAAATTTAAATTGCTTCCAAATGTAAAATCAAGTACTATATATGCATTGCAAGAGATAGAGAACGTCATACAATGTGTTTTGACACCTCTCAGAGTTCAAGTAGAGAGAGATTTAAACGATTTAAATTTTTCAAAAAATTCAAATTGCTTCCATATGTAAAATCAAGTACTATATATGTATTGTGACAGATAAAACAACATACAATGTGTTTAGAAACCTCTCAGAGGTACATATAGTACTTGATTATACATTTAGTATCAATTTAAATTTTTTGAAAAATTCCGTTGGAGACAGAAGACCCTAACTATAAAGTCTGCTATTGCAAGCAATAGCATATGTCGCCCCATACTGGACAAGACTTTCATTTTTATCATTACTAAATCAATGGTCCATTAGCTAAGCTTGGACAACCATCGAGTCGTATCAGTCCTTTCCATTGTAAACGGAAGACTTTAATTGGGTACATCCCATTTTATTTTAGAATCATAGGAGAAGAAAGTAGTGCAGGAAAAAATTACAAGTTCCTACATTTGCAGACTTGCATAAAAGAAATTGGGCAGATGTACTGAACTGAGCCTCATACTTGTTTATTGGCAGTATCTTTCCTTCCAATAAAGCTTGGTAAATGTAATTTTTTAAGAAGATCAGCTGAATTATTTTGTGTATTATAACGCCAGTGAGAACTCTGAAATTTCACTTTCATTTTTAGAGACAAAATCGGACAAAATTCGTCGCTTTTTACAGGTTTCCATGGCAACGGTAGACATATTGGAACTGAACGACCTCACTGCACAACTACAACCAGTGATCGTCCTTTGAGGAAAGTTTCAGTAAGATTGCCCCAGCCATCTCCGAGAAACAGCCTGGATAAAAAAGACATGCGTACAATATCAATATGTCGTCCCCGACTTCGTTCGGGGCGACATAATAAGAAACAGTAGAATCACTATAAGGTCTTCCGTGAAGACGGAAGACCTTAATAAGAAACAATAGAATCACTATAAGGTCTTCCGTGAAGACGGAAGACCTTGATAATAAGAAACAGTAGAATCACTATAAGGTCTTCCGTGAAGACGGAAGACCTTAACAATATGTTCCCCAACTTCGTTTGGGGAACATAATTACTCTAAATTTGGATTATCTCCCTTTTACAAAATTGGTTTTACTTCTCATCTTGATATCTTGTGTTTGCTAAAAAAATATATGTTATTATTAGTAATACTTTTGAGAATTTTAAACAAATTATTAAACGTCACAAAGGTGGAAACACAGGCAAACTGTTTTACAGACTTTACTCATTGAAGGAGGATAAGATAAGTGTTCTGGCATTGAAAGGATTATGGAAAGAAACAAGTTGCTGGGTAACCGGGGTATCAAAATACATATTGCATGAAAGAAGGATATGGTACGGAAGCCCGTTGGTGCCACGTACGAAAAATATTTTATTGTCGGCCGCCACTTGTATATATTGGCGGCCGCCAAATAATTATGTGGCGGTCGCCACTTGTTATTTTGCGGCAGCCACTTATATATCTGGCGGCCGCCACTTAATATATGGCGTCCGCCACATAATTTTTATGGCGGCCGCCACATATTTTTCTGGTGGCCGCTATATAATATCTGGCGGCCGCCACATATTTTTCTGGCGGCCGCTATATAACATCTGGCGGCCGCCACTTATTATTTGGTTGCCGCCACATGATTTTTATTGGCGGCTGCCACCTAATTAATTGGCGGCCGCCAAATATTAAATATTATTAAATAAATTTTATCTGGCGGCTGCCACATAAATTTATATGGCGGCCGCCAGATAACACCTGGCTTCCTGAATCGCGCGCATGTTTTAATGTGTCATTTTAAGAGGTGGATACAGTGTAAAAATTATAATACCAACATCAATCAACCAAACTTGTCAGAGATTTATTATAAACCAACACTCCAATCCACACTTCTAATAGATCTGTTTTTGCATAGAGCAGATTAATATTTGATATGAATTATGCAAGTATTTGTAGAGTGTTTCTATTATTAAGAGCCTCATCAGGGGTCACGGACATAGATCATGGTGTTTCCTGTAAGCTATGATTGGTTGAGAATTAAATGAAGTTTTGCATTTTTGATTTCCAAGAATGGTGTTCCAATATTTCAGAATTCGTTTTTTATCATTTACTTTTTTATCAATATTATTAGCAGCGGTTGTGTCAACATCCATCATCTTAACCCAATAACACTCACCTTCTGCAAAATAATTTATTTGGCGGCCGCCATATAAATAATGTGGCGGCCGCCAAATAATAAATGGCGGCCGCCAGATATTAAGTGGCGGCCGCCAAACAATATTAGGTGGCGGCCGCCAATTAATAAGTGGCGGCCGCCAGATAAAATATATTTCATACGTGGCACCAACGGGCTTCCGTAATATGGAAATAACGAACAGTATTCAATCTCAACGTCCATTAAACAAAATAAGAGCAGAGCAAACACGGACCTCCGAAACATCAAAATAAATAAGTTTATTTCAAAAGTACGATCTTTTTAAAGCAACTCAGCTCGCGTCAAATTATGTCTTTTCTTGAACCGTTCCTTCCCTGTCCGACTGTTCATGGGCGCCGGCATCTGGATTTTATAGTCTCGGAGACATTTTTTTTTAAATACTTAACATTTAAACGTATATAAACAACAAATGTGTTATCATCTTGTTGTTTTCTTTAATTATCTATCAATTGAAATGAAAATATTCAAATTAAGGCCTTTGATATTGACTGGATGACTCGTACCTCGCACATAACGAATGGAGCGTATCTGAGTCAGCCGAGGATTGCCGGTTGCAGCTTTCCCAAAATGCACGACCTCAAGGAGGATGGCGGCCGAGCATTCGTATTCAAGGAATTTGGACTAACGTAGTTGCTAGCACTGGATAAGCGCTAGCAATAAGAAAATAAGCTCGAACCTTGGCGGCCGAGCATTCGTATTCAAGGAATTTGGACTAACGCAGTTGCTAGCGCTGGAGAGCGCTAGCAAATACAAAAAGAAGCTCTTCTCCAACCTTCTCTTTGTAAAAATTACACAGATTATGCATTTCCATTAGCTCATTTGCATGGAAAACCTCTATCTAGCCTTAAGTTACTTGCGTAGCAGAGAAAAAAGTTTTTCTAACGATTTTACATTACAACCCTCACATTTTCTGCCTCGATAGAAATTCATTGCACTTTTTTGTATCTTTTGCCAAACTTTCGAAGTTTTAGAAAAAACATAATACTTTTCTAAAGTACAGGAACATTTGATTCTTATCCATTTTTAGTCTACAGTTTAATATATGTTTACATAAAAGATTGAAAAAGTTCATATAAGAAAAAGTTAAAACTATGGTACATACATCGGTAATTTAACATTACCTATACGGTTCAACTAAAATTTTTAATAATTACAAAATCAAAATAGTTATCTGGTTGTACTTCGAAAGAAGTTGCTCTTCATATTATAATGTGATTATGGATACTTACGTGTACAATCTTTTCTATTATAATCAAGTGTAAATCCATCACGGCATTCACAGCCTCCAGCAAGTTCAAACTGAGAACATTCAAAGGGCGTGATCATTTCTAAGAAAAAAAAGTAAAAATATTAGTTTTAAACAACAGACTGAGAATTATGTGTGCATCTGTATAAAAAATTATGTTCATAAAATTTTGAGAAGGTTTGTCAATGAAAAGTTTTTCATGATTCTTAGTTTGTATTCATATTGTTTTTCAAACCTGATGTTTCGTGTATAACAGTTATATCTTCTATGTTGGACATATTTGAAATATCCACAACTGTTTTTAGATCCAAATCCAAAGTCAATATTGAGGAGGTGTTCATCATAACCATCAAATTATACTTCAATGAAAGAAAATGACTCGTGTAATATCTTAGGAAAGTTCAGGATATATTTTTATACGTATTCTGATTTCCCATAATCATTTAAAAGTGTTTGCTTTTTTCTATTGTATACAACATGTCCTGATCACCTCTAGAAATCCAATGAACGATATATCAAAGTCAAGATGTGCAACTCTTTCTCTAGAATCTCCAAAAAATTCGGATTTTTCGATTGTCTTCAGTATGGCATCATACCAATATAGGCCAAAATAAATCGTGAGAGATCTTGGATCATGAAGTCCTTGGTAATGTAATGTACGTTTGTCCTCTCCGTCCAAATTGCATCTATATATGAATGGACGTTTGTCGTTTTCAACCCAGAAAAATACTCTAAAACAATATCTGAAAGCTTTAGAATACATATTAATTGAAACAATTTCTCATTTCTGCTCCATTGTAGTTACTGTACTAAAATTAAAAAAAAATGTTGCTTTATTCTGAGGTCAATATCATGGACAAACTACTCAAAGGATACAATATTCACTGACCTAAAAGGGCAAAGTTAATATTGTAGTCCAAGGTTTTCTTAATAATTTCATCGCCAAAAGGGACAAATTGTGATCAGGAAAGCTATATTTTTCGAATCAAATTGTTTAATTTACGGGTGGCAATTTTTAAAATCTTTTTATTATTCATTGTCATCACAAAGAGACAGATTGCTATGTCACTACTGTAAGTCTCATAAAACGACATTGTGTGTTTATTTGTTTTTATGTACACTCGTAGATTAAACAATTTGATTCGAAAAATATATCCTGCGAAATAAAATATTGAAAATTTTATGAAATTAAAAATAAAGTCTTAAATAAAGTACGTTATTTCTGAAGCGGTGAATTTTTCATTGAAACAGTTTGACACGATACCCGAACGAGAATCGAACCCATGACCCCAGATCACAAATCAGACGATCTAACACATGGCTACAGTGACCGGTTTGTTAAAAAAAAAATTGCAGAAAAAATTTCACATTATGAATACCTAATTATATTACAGTATATTACAAAACCAATGGCACTCTCTATTCAGATGTAAAAATATTTTCTTTTTCAATAAATACATGCGTACAATGATTTGATGTTATCCAAAGTTCATAAAATATAAATACAACTTAATATTTCAGATAAAATATGATTCAAAGTGCATGTCGAGATTTATGGTCTCGTAAAAATTAATAAACGATACAAATATGTAAAGAAAAGAATACATTAAAAAAGGACCACTTTAAATTTCAGAGATGGGATCAGGTGCTGAGGAGGAGTAAGCACTCCCTGTTGATGGTCTTATTCCGCTGTAATATTGAGGGTAGATGGATCATCCCGTGGTCAAAAAGAATATAAAATACAATGACTTAAAGTCAGTACAGCATTTAAAAAAGATATTATTTGTAATTAACATATTTTTTAAAAAGTTTTTACAAACTTATTTGCAAAAGGTAGACATAATATATTGAACATTGGGCGTAGGTTTTCCCCAGTCCATTTTTCATGAACACGATTCAATTTAATAACAGTACCCGCATCGTTATTCTTTACAAATCTATCGTGTCCTATCGTGCGTGTATCCTATCGTATCGTGCGTGTATCCTATCGTATCCTATCGTATCGTGTTTTCCGTTTATCGTGTTTTGCGTTTTCTATCGTGTTTTCCGTTTATCGTGTTTTGCGTTTATCGTGTAGATCGTTTATCAGGTTCTATCGTGTATCGTGTTTTGCGTTTATCGTGCATATTCGGAAACCCTCGCTTTTTATCTTTACTACAGGAAGAAACTACCGAGATATTCCGAGTTTCTTTTTCGTTTTGTTAACTAAAATAAGATTGTTTTAACCAAGAAAGAGAAAAGATAGTTTAATTCCTTCGTTTTTCATCCTTATTATTAATATATCAAAGCGTGGAAGGAAAAGAATAAATATATGAATAATATACAGTGAAACCTGTCTAATCCGACATGCACTGGGAGACAAATTTTGTGTCGGAATAGACAGGGTGTCGAATTTCACAGTGTTAAAAACATGGAAATTAGTAAAATAAGAAAGGAATTTAACGTCGGAATCCACAGTGTGTCGGATTTCTCAGGTGTCGGATTAGACAGTTTTCACTGTAATTAATAAATCAAACAATTAATAATTAATTAGATTAAGAAAATAATTATATCATAGACAATCAGAGAATCAAAATTAATTTTTGAAAATGAAATATTCGAGTACCTATTTTTTTTTAAATCAGTCACTAGGGGTTTATTTTCGGTAAGAAAATTTTCATAATGATTCGCAGAGGATTTATATGTATCTTCTTAAAATATAATATTCATTTTTTTTTTCTTCCGATCAATCGGCTGGTAATATTAGGAATGTGTTTTCGCCTCTGATCTGCATGACAATCGTACATGTATGCACAATTATTTAAAATCTTGATTTAAAAACAAATAATAATAACGAAGCTTTAAGCATTTAAGACATTGATCCAGATAACTTTTACACAGATTTTCTACGTAATACTATATGTTCAATTTTTCGAATTTATTTTAACACTATCTAATTAGTTAAATTTCTTAATATGTCTCAATTTAAAAAAGAATAATATCAAAATTATAAAACGTAATGCATAAAAATGCTCTACCCGATTTATCACACCAAGCATGGCAGTTACTATAAAATAGAAGTTTTACATTAATTTTATCTGGCATAAGAAAACCTGAAAATAATAAACAGGGAAAAAACATTACGGCTTTCAACGGCTTACCTTTTTGGCGTGGAAATAAACTAAAATATAATTCACCTGCGTGTGAAATCGAAGAGCTTTACCTACCATAAAGCTGACAGTAATGTGTACCTATGTAATCAGCACGCTGCCTTCCTGTGCTGTCAACACCCCTTCCCCTAGCCCCCTTAATGATAGCTCGGCACGTGTGTATTCACCGTTAACATATATGAACTGCTCTCTCATCTTGTGTCAAACAGTATCTATTTTCGGTATTGTGTTCATCCCTTGCTTAAACTACATGTACACTCAGATTTTTTTCTTCTAAATCAATTAAATAATTGTACAATTTATCAATTTGAAAAATCTTATCCTAGCTTGAATTTAAATTTTAAAAAAAATCACATAACTCTATCCGCTGATTTATTTTATCTGTACGATGTATCCATAACTTCATGCAAATATGATTTTTAATGAAATTAAAAAAAAATACTGCAGTTATGGAACGGATCGTCAGTTTTTCTTTCGGATCGCCGGGTTTTCATTGGTTACGGACAGAATTAATTCTAGGAAACAATTTCTTTGATGAAGAAAAGATTGAAATAATTCTAAAATTTTAAACTATGAAGATTTGCTCGCATTATTTTTTACGGTATTTTACTATAATAAAAAAAGAAGTCTGATTCCGCCGTGACAATGCAAGACGAATAAATGTATTGCACCCAATCAATCTATAGTATTAATCGATTTCATTCCATATGAATATATCTTTATTGAAGAAGTCAATATTATTTTTGGCTACATGTACAGTACCCGCATCGTTATTCTTTACAATTCTATTGTGTTCTATAGTGCGTGTATCCTATCGTATCGTGCGTGTATCCTATCGTATCGTGTTTTCCGTTTATCAGGTTTTCCGTTTCCTATCGTGTTTTGCGTTTATTGTGTAGATCGTTTATCAGGTTCTATCATGTATCGTGTTTTGCGTTTATCGTGTAAATTCGGAAACCCTCGCATTTTATTTTTACTATATAAAGAAACTACCGAGCTATTCCGAGTTCCTTTTTCGTTTTGTTAATCAAAATAAGATTAATTCAACCGAATAAGAGAAAATAAAGATTTATCCCGTTCTTTTTCATCAATATAAGAAATATTAAAGCGTAGAAGGAAAAAAATAATTAATACATGTAGCGTATTTCATAAAGGAATAAATTAATTTATAAATAAATTATTGATTAAATAAATAAAATATTTATATCATGGTTAAGCAGAGAGTTTGTCAAAATTTAAACATTAACTCTATTTATCGGAAATGAAATTCGATTGATCAACTTGTTTATTTCTTTAAAAAAAAACTTATCGAATTGTTGATTTATTTTGTCAAAATTAAAATTTAATACTATTGATATGATTTTTTTTCAAATGAATCGGAGTTACCGGAGAAAGATTTTTGGTAAGCTACGATGTTCGCGTAGACAAAAAGCAAATAAATAATATAAATAATAAGCAAGATATTGAAATGTATCTTTTTTCATGCAATATTCTGTTTTCCTTGTTTATCGTCTGATAACGTTAGAAATATGCGTCCTACCTGAATGTATGCACAATTAATATCTAAAGTCTTGATGTTGTAGACTTCTCAATGCAGGCATTGACCAACTTTATAGAGTTCTCAATGCAGGCATTGGCCGACTTCAGTGTCTTTCAATGCAGGCATTGGCCCACTTTGTAGAGTTCTCAATGCAGGCATTGGCCGACTTCAGTGTCTTTCAATGCAGGCATTGGCCGACTTTATAGAGTTCTCAATGCAGGCATTGGCCGACTTTATAGAGTTCTCAATGCAGGCATTGGCCGACTTCACTGCATGTCTTTCAATGCAGGCATTGGTGACTTTAAGAGTTCCAACGGGAGGCATT